GGCGGTTGTGAGTACAGCTAATGACAATACAATATTATGTTCGAATATTCGAAATTATATTCGAAAATTCGAAGTTATGTTCGAAAAATTTTTTATGCTCTTAAAATAATCTCTGGGTTATAAAAACTAAAAATAAAATTTTCGAAAATTCGAACTTAAGTTCGAAAAATTTTTAAAGCCATTAAAACAAGTTCTCATGGCCCGAATTGTCTGAAATTTGGCAGTCTGGAGTACGCTTGATGACACTACAATGCTATGTTGGAATATTTAAAATTAAGTTCGAAAATTCGAAGAAATGTTCGAAAAAATTTTGAAGTTGTTAACATAATCTCAAAATTGGGGATATTCACGAAAATATAATTTTAGTTCTTTTCGCGGCCAATTTCTTACATTTTCTAATTTCGAAATAATGTTCGAATAAATTTTAAAGCTGTTAAAATTATCTCAAAATCGTGGAGATTCACAAAAATATAATTTTTGTTCCTTTTTCTTACTTTTTCCGATTTCGAACAAACAAATTTTGAAACGAATTCGCAGTACGAATAATTTGATTGTGTTCCATTCGACGAATTTACGCAACGAATTGCTGTCGACTAGTTCGTCGTGCTATACGAAATTCGTCGTTCGTTCCAATTGTGAGTATACATATAAGGAAAAAAATTACAGTTTTCAATTGATGGGTATTAGTTTTTCCTATTTTTCTAAGTATTTGATCTTGACAATTGATTTATAGATTTACTTAATTTATTACTAAGTATTAGTTTCTTTTTTTAATAAAAGCTATAAAACAGTTGCAATTTTTATTTTTAATAATCTTTGTTGTTTTTTGTAGCGTTACAATTCGCGTGAGGTAGATAATGTTTTAATTACTTTTAATAATTGAAGAAATGAAAACAAGAAATATTTATATAAAAAAAAAACAGAATGATTGAAAAGTAAACGGTTAGTGGTATTATTTACGGTTGGATGTGCGGTATTTCAGGGAAATAAGGTAAATTTAGTTTGATATTGAGGTTGAAACAAATCTTATTTTTGTATCAAAATGTTTAATCATTGCGGTCTCGATAACGTAGACTCATGGGAAATTACTTGTGGAATATTCACTGCAGTCAAATTATCACGATCGATGTTAAATAGGTGATAATTTTACCGTTTGAGGTTAAGGTATTTAACAACGATCATCTAATACTTTTATTTAACTTTTGTTATATGAATTCAATTTTATTAATGCTGCAATCTGATTCTGTTATACGATCTTGGTCCGACATATTACGCCTCCAGTCTATAGGTACTATGACATAGCTCCGACAGGAACAGATGTTTATCAAAATACAAGGTTGCCAACCGTTTCGAAACGGTGCGATGAGAAGGTGTTTTACCTTATTTCGGTATTGGTATTTTAGCCTTATCGGTATTTTGGCATATTACGGTAACGATATTTTAACGGTAATTTCGGTATGATTAAAATTATTAAAAAATGGGAGTCCGTGGGCTCTTATTCGGGAACCGTTGTTCTAGTTTATGGCATCGCCTATAGTCTAGTCGATAAAGACATTTTTTATATACTTTAGTATTTAGTCTAGTCTATCAAGTCCATAGTCTAAAAATGTCGGTATTTCGACTTATTTCGGTAGTTAATTTTGCGTTATCGGTATCATGGCTTATTTCGGTATCGCCATTTTAGCAGTAACAGTAATAGTGCTGAAAAGGTATTTTGGCGGACGATAGTTTAGCGATAACGGTTGCCAACCTTGTCAGAATATAAACAGTAAGTGTTATAATGAGACTTGATCTCATTCGACAACTTTTTGGTCAATTCTAACTTAAACAAAAACTTTATCAGTACGGAGATCGTGGTTTCGATTCCCAGAAAGGACGGCACAACAGACCCGATAGTGGCCTAGGTGTATTTCTTCGGATCGTCCTTTCAAACCAACGATTAAGAAACGATTATGTCGATAGATACAGTGGACTGGTACTACTTTCGAAGAAATATAAGGTTCCACCTTTCCGTTGTCACGCCTAAATGGGATGGAACTATAAATCTCTGAGAGTGCGAAGTATCTGTAATTAGTTTAAGATTAGTTTAGAATCTTAAACTAATTACAGATACTTCGCACTCTCAGAGATTTATAGCTCCATCCCATTTAGGCGTTGTCTAATGGAATGTACTATATCATGAATTCCATGAGAAATCAATTAAGAATTGACCTTTAATTTTTTTGTAAACACATACTCTATTAGACATATAAGACATATCTACATTAAATTCTTAAAAATTCCAAAAAATGCGAGTTTTATGGCGATTTTAATTTTTAATCGAAAACTACAAATAAAATTTTGAAGGTTCATATCTTTGAGAGTTTATATCGGATTTTGTTGATTTAAAATACAATATAATTCTATTTTATTTAAAAACGTTTAAGATAGTGCATTTTTTATGGAAATGCACTTTTTGAATGCATTTTTGATTTCGTTCTCCCTGTTTCAAATTTGTTAAAAGTGCATTAATCGATTATTTGAAGAAAAAAAAATATTTTTTTGTGACGTGCATTACATCTATGTATTTTTATAGATTTTTTAAAATTTTTGATATTGGAAAATCGCATTTAACAGAATTTTAAACTGCTTAAAATACATTATTGATCAGAATTGGGATGTAAATATTTAAATTCGATTACCACTAATGTACACTTTGATTTAAATAATATTTTTGAAGATAAATGCATTTTTAAAGCAAGAGCACCTTGACTGCGTTTCAATGTCGTTCTCTCTGTTGACAGTATTTTAAAATATCATAAATCAAAATTTGCTATTTTTTATATTATATAAATTAAATTGTTTTATTAAACGAATATTTAAACATTATTTTTCGCGATATTTTGAAAATTAATTTTTTTTAGTTTAAGTTAGATCAAATGCCCATCAAAAATATAAAAATTTTTATTACGTCACAAAAAAATATTTTTATATTTTGCGTAAAAAGCTTTAAATAATCTATTAAAGCAATTTTGAAAAATTTTAAGCAGGGAGAAAGATATCAAAAACGCATTCAAAAAGTGCATTTCCATAAAAAACTTTTTAGTATAAAAATTATATTATAATGTAAACTCTGAAAGATATGAACCTTCAAAGTTTTATACCTTTTTGATATTTTTTAGTTTTCGAACAAAAATCGCGTTTCTTGAAATTTCCCAAAATAAAAAACGGAGTTGTTTTATTTTCTTCATAAAAAAACATATATTGATAATATGAAAGAAATTGAAAGACATGAGGTAAAAAATTGTCAGTTTTTCTGTGTTCTTTCCTGGAATTCATGATATACACAAACAAATTCCGGAGTATGTCGAAAACTTCGTCCTTTATTTAAATTGGCTGATAACTAATCCCATGGCCAAACATTTGTCCCTAACCTCGGCTGCCAAGCTTAACATTGCCCGTGTCTAAAAGCCTAGTATTGAATAATATTCAACCACTATCCTTCCTGAAAATTGATTTATAGTATGGACAACAGATGAACTATTTATTATAAATAACGGCGCGCTCGTGGTGGTGGAGTGTAGTGGATTTTATATCCTATAAGTATACACCACTATATTAAGACTGGTTAGCAAAGTTGGAACATATTTTCATGAGATGGCGAACCATTCGACCCTAAAGTTGCTCTTGATACTAGAGAATAACATAAACGAACTGGTTCTTGTCTTCATAAAGAGAAAATTGAATCAGTTGTTTGACTCTCTCTATCATGGAGACTGCTGAATTATCATGTGTCTGTTGTCTCAGTTTTCATGTACGACATTATGATTAGTTTGTGAATGTTGGACGTACCTTCACGAGATAAAGATAATCCATAATAAAGCTGATAAATTGGCCACATTAGTCATACTGATGAGGATAACCTGGCACTTTATGATGGTCAAAAAGAATTGACCTGGTTGGGTTTATAGCGGTTGCAGTAATGACTGATATGACTGCGTATACTAGGCGAATTAATCTTCTATTAAATTACTACTGTTGGAGTTGACACAATGATGATGATGACTACATTTGGTATAAGAACCTTTAAGTTTCCTACACCAAGCATAGACCAATGAACCAACCAGACTTGGGGAAAAAAATATCGCATAAACTTTCAGGAGACCATTTCTAAGAGAAAATATCTTGCAGACGATTTCAAAAAACCAAATAACCTATAATTAATCTTGTAGGGTAAACTTGATAGTAAACAATATTTTTGATGTCTGTTTATTTGTTTGTTCTATTTTCGTAGGTGTGTATTCTTCACCTGTTGGAAAGTTAACGCCGTTTTAGGGTAAGGCAAGAGGTTAATAATCCTTATAATTAACGTATAATAACAATTAGTTTTGTGCCTCTTGAAATTGATAAAGCGTCTGGTAAATACTGATTATTAGCGATAATAGATGGGGAAAGTTTTTTATTTTTATTTTGAGATAATAAATTTATCAAGGGAAATAGTTTTTAAATTTTAAAAAATATTTCAACTATATAGAAGTCATCAGATCAATATACAGTCTATGTTCGAAATAAGTTCGGAAAAAATATTAGTTATATGATATCAACCTTCAACCATCGATATAACTATATAAGCATTTCACTGGGAAATAAATATGTATTTAACAGGAAAATAATAAAAACATTATACGATAATTAAAAACATTCTTAAGTGATTAATTAACAAACAATACTTTATTTGCCCCTCATACAAAAAAAACAAAATTTATTGTTTTATTTACCTTTAATTCATTCAGAATTTATAATCAAAATAATTTAATTTGTGATTTACAATACAATTCATTACTTTGGCTCAATGCTCAAGCAAATTAAATTTATTTATCTTGAATTGTACACTACAATGATTGCTGTATGATTATTTAGTTAACAAATAATTATTTTAAAACAGTCATACAAACATATTTCTTTATATTCCCTTATTATATACACTAATTAACACACGATATTTTATTTTATCTTTTCAGTATAATTTTCAATTTCAAAATCTCAAAAGTAAGAAGAAGAAGAAGAGAAAGAAAAATGTCTCTTTAAGTTACTTATGTAACGATGACGACGACCACAGTGCCAGATCAAAGATATTTTTGTACAAATTCAATTTCAAATTCAAACAGACTTTAACAATTAGTACTAGAGGATAGATACTTGTACTTATTGTCTAAATATTTGTGATAAATTAAAAGTGTTATATATATATATAAGTACATATAATAAATAAATAAATTTATATACCTAGTTATATATACATAGTATATTTAAATAATATTATTAAGAACAAAAGTGCCAGTATTTTTTAAAACAACAAAATGACAGTTACCTACACAGGAGAAGTAGCGACGTGTCGTGGTTTTGGCTGTTTTTTAAAATTATTGCTCAGGTGAGTGTAAATAATAAAGGCGACTTAAAACATTTGTATATAAATATTTACTACTTAAATATAATTGAGAATGATCTTATATTTAATTACGAGTGCAAAGTTTTTTTGTGTTTTTATATGTGTAATACATACAAATTTTAAATTGAAATGCAATACATATTGAAATTAATTTATCCATTTTTTTGATTTTTATACATTTTTTTACAGTGAACGAAGAAATTAAAAACTTCGGTATCTGGTTTTTAATTTTTAAGATTAATCATTTTATTAAATCTAAGCAGTGTGGACTGAATAATAAAACTTTTGCAGTATCAATAATAATCAATATAAAAAAATGTATTAACAAGTAAAAATTTTATATTTGGGATGGTCACTAAATCAGAATTTTTGTGACAACTTGATCAATATTTCGGCACGTTGATCACCATATGAAACTGACGACCGATATTCCCAATTTTCAACACCCCTGCTCGACTCAGTTAGTTAGTTAGTTAGTAAGTTAGTTAGTTAGTTAGTTAGTTAGTTAGTTAGTCAGTTAGTTAGTTAGTTAGTTAGTTAGTTAGTTAGTTAGTTAGTTAGTTAGTTAGTTAGTAAGTTAGTTAGTTAGTTAGTTAGTTAGTTAGTTAGTTAGTTAGTTAGTTAGTTAGTTAGTTAGTTAGTTAGTTAGTTAGTTAGTTAGTTAGTTAGTTAGTTAGTTAGTAGTTAGTTAGTTAGTTAGTTAGTTAGTTAGTTAGTTAGTTAGTTAGTTAGTTAGTTAGTTAGTTAGTTAGTTCGTTAGTTAGTTAGTTAGTTAGTTAGTTCGTTCGTTCGTTAGTTAGTTAGTTCGTCGTTCGTTCGTTCGTTCGTTCGTTCGTTCGTTCGTTCGTTCGTTTCGTTTCTTCGTTCGTTCGTTCGTTCGTTAGTTCGTTCGTTCGTTCGTTTCGTTCTTCGTTCGTTCGTTCGTTCGTTCGTTCGTTCGTTCGTTCGTTCGTTTCGTTCGTTCGTTCGTTCGTTCGTTGTTCGTTGTTCGTTCGTTCGTTCGTTTTTTTCGTTCGTTCGTTTTCGTTTCGTTCGTTCGTTCGTTCGTTCTTCGTTCGTTCGTTCTTTGTTGTTCTTTCGTTCGTTCGTTCCGTTTGTTTTCGTTCGTTTTAGTTTGTTAGTTTTTTTAGTTAGTTTAGTCGTTCGTTAGTTAGTTCGTTAGTTAGTTAGTTCGTTAGTAGTTAGTTAGTTAGTTCGTTCGTTAGTTAGTTAGTTAGTTAGTTTAGTCTAGTTAGTTAGTTAGTTTTAGTTAGTTCGTTCGTAGTTCGTTCGTTCGTTCGTTTCGTTCTTTTTCGTTCGTTCGTTCGTTCGTTTTCGTTCGTTTCGTTCGTTCGTTCGTTCGTTCGTTCGTTCGTTCGTTCGTTCGTTCGTTCGTTCGTTCGTTTCGTTCGTTCGTTCGTTCGTTCGTTCGTTTCGTTTCGTTCGTTCGTTCGTTCGTTCGTTCGTTCGTTCGTTCGTTCGTTCTTCGTTCGTTCGTTCGTTCGTTCGTTCGTTTCGTTCGTTCGTTCGTTCGTTCGTTCGTTTTCGTTCGTTCGTTCTTCGTTCGTTCGTTCGTTCGTTCGTTCGTTCGTTTCGTTCGTTCGTTCGTTCGTTCGTTCGTTCGTTCGTTCGTTCGTTTTCGTTCGTTCGTTCGTTTCGTTCGTTCGTTCGTTCGTTCGTTCGTTCTTTCGTTCGTTCTTCGTTCGTTTCGTTCGTTCGTTCGTTCGTTCGTTCGTTCGTTGCCTTCTTTTCTTCTTCCCCCTCCCTCTGTCCTCCCGCCTCGCCCCCGTTCTCCCTTCCCCTTCTTTTTTGTTGCGAGTTGGCGTCTATATGACTGTTAATGGTCTAATGTATTAAAACTATTGCGTCTTAAAATAAATACGGAAGAAGTAATTATTTTCTACTAAGAGATTGGTGGCATTCAAAGATCGGTTATTTTGAAGCTGTTAGTCATTGTCGGTACATTGTGTTATACATTTTTTTCAATAACAAATATGTATTATTTTATAAATTAAATGGCTGCATGTACTATTTCCTCACAGAGAAGAAAAGGAGTTAATTCATTCATAATGATGGAATATGTAAAAGGTGATTATTTCAGAGATTTTGAATTCAAAGTTGCTATATTATTGGAATTTTTGCTCATTTAGCAATTTTGTGTTAACAACTTTTAAAGGGATTTTAATGGAGTTATCTGATTTTCTGAAAGAAAGTTTTTTAAAGAGCGTAAATAATTAACCCATTCATAATTTTTATAACATACACTAAATTATTTTTTTAAAAACAATGACTTCATACTAAATTGTTTGATGCGATTAAGTGTTAACGACAAAACACTTATGCCGGTATTTTAATCAAATTTTTCCTGCTTATCGCTCAATGCATTTTTTTGTATGGTTTTTCACAACGTGTTAATTATTTTTATTATTTTGTTTAAATATTGTTTGATTGTGATTTTAAAATGATAAAAAAAGAATGAAATTATGTCATTTCTGTTAAATACACTAATGAGTTTGAGTACATATAAGTAAGTATATGAGTCCAATAACTACAATCTCAGCAGTTTTATTTGTTTAATTATTTCATTTGTTGACTTTAGTTCTTGGTTTTTATTACGAGTATTTTTCTTACGTAGCAAAAAAATAAAAGTTTTTTTTTTCATTTATTTATATAATGAATTTAGTTATTTTGTGTCATTTACTTTTAAAATTAACAGTAAAATTATCTTAAGAAAATTGTATGAGAAGTATAGTGAAAAGGGTAATTTTTTCTCATGGTCAATGGTAAATGTGAACTATAGGTGTTAACTGGATTTATTTTCATTTTATTTGTTAAATATCGTTTAAATATTAAAACAAAAGCAAAATTTTAAACATTTGGCGCCTTCTAACGGACAAATTTCGTTCAAAATACTTCTCTTGTACCAAATAAAGTACTATTTTTCAAATATATTTTGATTTGCCGAATAAAATGATATTGCTATCTAAAAAATCAAAATTTCGAACAAATATCTGTCATTATTGACAAATTTTTGACAACTATAACCGACACTATCTTTTCAAGGCTAATTTTAATATAATAAATATAATAATTATTTGAAATGATTACTTAATCAAAATACAGATAAACTCAATGGACTCAATCTAAAAGTACCCCAATTATCTGTTCCCACTCGAATACTAGGCGTTAGTATATCTCGTGATTTATTTTTTTTCGCAATTGTTTAAACAAATACAAAGTAAACCCTATAAACAAATATCAACAACAATAGAAATAAATCAGTAGGGTTTGTTAATGACACACTTCAGTTGTATTATTAATATTTACATTAAATATTTTTTTATTTATTAGACAACTATGTCTAATAATAATGACATAGAAATGCCACAATATACTTTGAAATTAGTACATCTTTATAGAAAAAAATATTTTCCCAAGAATTATTTTGTAAATATATACCTAGTACATACAAACCAACTAACAATTGTCATGATATTGTCATAATCATAAAAGCCTTTATCAAAAAAATTTTTTTGGAATTTTTATTAAAACCATATTATTTTTGTATTAAAGTGGAAAGTTTTGATTAGCAAATAATTTTTTTTTAGTAAACAACTATAGTAATAGAGAGATATTAACTTATTTGTTTTTCTTAGCTGCCTTCTGTTTGTAAAAATATCTATGGAACATTAGGGTGCAGTCAAATTAAGATTTTCGACATTTCTTGTAAAAAATGCACTTTTTTCGTAATATTTACGAAAATTTCGTGCATAATATGAAATATACGGAGGAAAAAGAATATACACGCCTGGTACCAAATTGACATCAAATTTTTCAATAACATCCGCAATTTTTCAATAACATGTCGCAATCTAAACTTTATGCACATCCATTATCTAAAAGTTAACAAACGTGGTAAGCTCAAAATGCGTTGTAAATAGTGAGCTTACCACGTTTGTTAACATTTAGACAACGGATGTGCATAAAGTTTAGATTGCCACAACGAATTGTTGCAATGTTGACAAAGTTGCGTGGTCTACATTACGTGTTGTTGTTGTATGTATGTAAATACTTGACAACGGATGTTATTGAAAAGTTTGGTGTCAATTTGGTACCAGGCGTGTATATTTTTTTCCTCTGTTTAGCATTTTTAGTAAAAAATCCAATTTAAGGTGAAAAATTGCATTTAAAAGGAAAAAAAATAATTTTTTAGTGCAAAATAGCATTTACACAGAAAAATTATATTTTTTAGTAAAAAATCACTTTTAAACAGAAAAATTTGGTTTTTAGTGAAAACATGAGTTTTTAATGAAAATCGAATTTATGCCATAAATCCCCTTTTTATTGTCAATATATCAATTATAGTCAGCAAACTGCATCACAGACGATTTTATAGACTAGTTCATTTAATAGATCAGAGTCAATAGATAGATTCTTGTCAACAGACTGTAGTATATAGATAAATTTATAAACTTGTCCATTGACTGGCCCGTAGACTAGTCAATGAAGTTGTCAACGGACTTAAACGAATTGGTCTATAGACTAGTTCTTAGACTATCTAGACCAATCCATAGAAAAGTGCAAAGGCTATTCAATACACTAATCCATACAATACTGAACAGACTAGATTATAGACGAATTATGAACTGTCCCTATACTAGTCAATGGAGTGGTACTAAACTAAACTATGGATCTTACAAGTCAATAGATAATTCCAGACAAAAGTTAATAGACCAAGGGCACGACGTTAATACTCCGTAATGCTAGAAACTTTCGGCAGCATAAATTCCATTATTTCATTAAATCCAACCTTCCCCCACAAATCACTATCAGATTGATCACTAAGCTAGAATGGTTTCAAGACACTCTTTATAAAAAGTTAAAGACTACTTCGCAAAGTTTCTTGTTTTTTTCACACATAATATGATCACGATCTTTGCCAAAATAACCACAATTTATAGAGAAAAAATAGGAATTGAAGTAAAAGATTCTTTCATAATAGA